GGTCTCCTTCTGGGAATTCCTACTTCAGTCATGTACTGCACTTGGACTTAACCACAGGGCTTCGCATTCAATTACTGACTCCTTATTGGGTTACAGAGGCTAAAATCTTTTAGTTTTTGCCTCCAGTCGGACTTGAACCATTGACCTTGACTGTGGGGGTATGGGAGCTTAACCGCTAAGCTATGGGACCCACATCCAAAAATCATTTTTGTAATTTTTTCTTTTATAGATATTTTTAGTGTTTCTGTCTATAAATTCATTTTTCATTAATAATTTTTAGTATTTTATCAGGGAATAAGTTTTTCTAGAAATGATTAGTACTAACAAGCAATAAAATAATAAAATAATAAAATAATAAAAATAGGAAATAATAAATCTAAAAAACATGATACTAACAAGATAAAATAAAGAATTCAAATAATCAAATCAAAAACTAAATAATTTCAAAATATATATGCATATACGATCAACTTATAATGCCAAAATCAAAAATCAAAAATCAAAATCAAAATCAAAACTAGAAGGTAAAAATATAAACTTCTTCATAATTCCAAAATTCTAAAAATATAAAATACAAAATACAAAATAATCAATTCAAGTTGAATTAATAGAGATATACCTAAAATAATAATTCCAAAAATACTTTTTCAAATATATCTGGATCTTTGTCAGGATAAATATTCCAATACATCTGGGTCTTTGCCAGAATAAATATTTCAATACATCTGGGTCTTTGCCAGAATAAATATTCCAATACATCTGGATCTTTGTCAGGATAAATATTCCAATACATCTGGATCTTTATCAGGATAAATAAATTTAATTTTATATTTTTCATTAATGTATACATGGTTGAACCTTCCAAGCATTAATGTCCAAGAATATGTGATAAAATCTTCCTAGTTTAGATAATAAAATTAAATCTTTTGGAGATTATTTTTATAAGAATAGAAATATACTATCAGTCACTTTTACTCAGAAATAATAAACTGTCTTGAAAAATGTCTTTTGTTGAGAGAGAGAGGCCTGGGAATTATCTATATCCAGGGCTTATACTAAACTAAACCAAATAATAAAATTTAAATAAAATCTATATTTATAAAATAATTTAATAACTAACTATACTAAAGATTATAAAGAATGTTCATGTCAATATGTTATTATCTCTTATATATATAATGATCAACAGTCATCTCTTTTGGTACCTTTAATCAATATAGAATCAAAAGGAAATAAAATATCTAAGGATTATATAATATCTTGAGGTCTAGAAAAATTTTTAAAAATTTTCGTCTCTATGACACAGTAAGGGAAAATCATTTCAAGAATATATTTTTACAAAAGTATTCCAAATATAATGTTGGTATTAAGTAACTATGTCTTGGATCTTTAATTAAAGTTGTAGAGCAGACTTCTATGATTCCAATGGTAGTTGAAATGTTAAATTTGGTCCAATAGTTAATGTTTTATGATTATTTAACGAAATCCTGAATCTTCTATTTTTCTTTTTTTGTTATCTCCAAGAAGGATTCTATAGATGTAGGAAAATGCCGTCACTATTTTGGAAGTGATTTACAAGTCAATGAAGCATTTTCGTATTATGATATAGTATAATAAAATTTGTAGAGCATCCTTCTGTGAATATGCTGATATGTATTATATTTTTGTAGGATCAAAATTCATCGAGATATTAAAGAAAAACAAAATGTATTCAAAATCTTTATTGTAAAATTTTTTTCTTTCCTCTTTTTCTTCTTTTCAAGATGTTGGTACTAAGTTAATAGGTCTTAATACTTAGATGTAAAATGTAAAAGGACTTTCTGCGAATCTAAAGAAGGTGAGTTCATCCAAAACGAACAAGTGGATGATGAGATATTAAAGGTCAAAGTTTGTATACTAATATTTAGAAAAAGAAAATTTTAAAGAAATTATTTGTAATAAGAAGGGAGTTAAAATTTTAACGATTTATAAAAGATCAGAGAAGCATTTTGATACTAAATAATCTATATATCAAAATGTAAAAAAAATGTTCAAGAATCTAAAGAAGGTGAGATTTTGAAGATAGGGTAAAAATTCATAGAAATATTAAAGAAAAACAATACTCAACTAATTTTTCATTTTTCCATCAGAGAAGATTTGTTAAATTTGACCAAAAATTTTTATATTTTCTGCCAGAAGGCACCAAAATGTTACAGGATTGTAGTCTTCTTGGTATAATACAACCAAGTAACAAGGTCACCTGGTATAGTGATTGACTATTGCAAATATATATGGGGTGGAAGTGTAGTAGTTTACTTTACTACATAGCAGTAGGCAAATGGTTTGAGATAATAACAGTATATAAATTAACTTTTTATTAATAATACATATAGTGACAACCTTTGCTATAGGAATTATCCTAGAGAGGGAATATTATATTTTGTCATTAAAAGGTTATTATGTTTAGGTTGAAGTGTAGAAACTTAGAATTGGCAGGGAAGGAGAAAAGGTACTCTTTATATATCTTTTTATCTAGTAGAGGTAGTGGAGATTTGAGTAACATCTCTTGATACTATACTTGGGGTAGTGGGGATTGTGCAGAGGCAAGTAGAGTTTATATAGAGATAGTTGGGACAATGTTTATATGTATTTGTCATTTGTATTTGAAACACTTGGAGCATGTGTCAAGGTATTTAAGTTTGTGCAGTGATACTTGGGATTGTTCAGAGACACCTGGGGATTGTGTTGGGATACTTGAGGATTGTGTTGGAGATACTTGGGATTCTTGTATTGTGATATTTGGCACAGTAAATTGTACTAGGATACATAAAACTTGTGTAGAGGTACTTGGGGTTTTAAGACAATAATGACATCATAGATGTTATCCAATGTCATGTGTCTGTATCACACTTCTAATAGCCAATTAAGATTCTATTTTCTAACTACTATATACTATAATTAGTGTTGGCTTAACCAGACCGGTTTGACCATTTGACCAGACCAATTTGACCAATGACCAGTCTGGTCAAAGTATTGTAATACTGATCGGATTGGTCAAACAATACAATTACACAGACTAATTTGACTAATTTGACCAATTTGACTGATTTGACCATGGTTAAATTGGTCAAATTGGTCAGTGTAACTAATTCGAAGGTCACGTTATCCAATGACGATATATATGTATGTATGTAGGTAATCAAGGTACTTCGATTCTCTTTTTATTTTTAATACACAATATCAGGTTTTAACAAAAGCTATGGGAACAAGAACATGATAATTAATATCATTTGAGTAGTTTATAACAGATAAGAGAATTAGAGCTAACTTTTACATACTAATATTTTCGAAATTGGAACCTAAGGCAACTTAATTTTTACATTTAATGCTTAAATGCATTTTACATGATACTAATTTACTACGAACTTTTCTATTGCTACGATCATATTTACTCTATAAGTTATTTCTACCAGTTCTACTGTATCTACTATTTCTACCAGATCTACTATATCTGGCAGATATGTTGAAGCTAGAAGATCTGTCAAATTTAGCTGGTTTTTATCTTGATAGACGATCCACCCTCTACTTGTATGCGTACGCATAAATATGAATCAATACTCTGATTTTATTATAGTTTACTTTCAATGTTTATTACTTATGTTTTCTAAATTACTGCTATTTTAGAAATATTACTAGGAATTATTTTAAAGGTACTATTATTTATAGCGAACTGCCAATTCTTTTATTGTAATGAATTTAGTTAACAAAATAATATGATTTAAAATTTATATTATAATAATAATAAAAAAAAACTAGATTCTAATTATTAGAAGTCAGAGAGGTATCTTCAACATGTTGCTAAAGAAAACAAACAAATGTTGGTTATGATAAAGTACATGTAAAGAGGTATTGAAGTTCAATCTTTGAATCTTTGTGCTTAGCTGGATGATATTTATGCATATCAGAAGAGACCGTATTTAATTCTTCAAGTTTCTCACTTTCTTCATTAACCCATTCTCTAGTAATAGTTTCATCACTTAATATTTCATATTCATCATTGGCATTATCATCACTATTATAATCATCACAAACATCATTACTATCATAATTATCATTACTAGGCATTTCATTCTCAACAACTATTGGATTAAGTGTACTTGGATCATTTGTTTCACTATTGGTTGAATGAGTAATATGATTTGCAGCAACACTTTGGCGAACTTTTTTAGTATTGTTTAAATGTTCTTCCCAAGCCATCTCAGCTGTAATTTGGGTCATTCTAAAGATCGTTGGTAGCTGTAATAAGATAAGTTATTAGTATAAATTTGCAAAACTTTTTTTTTTTTTTTTTTTTTTTATACAAGTAAATACTTCAAGTATTTTTTTATTTAATAGAATTCAAGTATATAGTTATTACTTACCTTGGGGTGGCTGCATCTTTGATTTTGAAACCATTCCATTCTGGAAAAAAGGTGTTCACAGGGTGCAGAATTAACTTTAATACTAAACAAATGAAGTGCAATTTTACCAATTTCTTTTTGATCGATTGCTGCAAACTCCCAGTATCGCAATAACACGAACCCAGTTGCATTATTAATTGTCATATTTTCTTTAGAGATGGCTTCAAGAGTATTTTTAAATCTTTTATCACTAAATATACCACGTTTCATGTAATATTCAGTTAGTTCTAATGCGACATGTTTTGGTTTTATATTAAACCATACTTCATAATAATATTCAATCCACTGTGTTATTCTTTCAAGAGAGAAAAAATTAGTATTAGATAGAGCTTGAAGATGATATTGTGGGTGAAATATAACTACTAGCAAAAGAAGAAGTTGTTCCCAATCAGCCCATCTTTTTTCAAGTTTTTGCATCATCATAAAACTAAATTCATTAGTTTCATCTTCATATTGTTGTACTATATATCCAAATTCATATGTAACATTGAAAAAGTTGGCTGCATCACGCTAAAGATAATCCAGAATATTGACAAAGGGCAAAAGATGCTTTACTAATTCATCAAGGTATGTCCAAAATTGAGGATTGTTAATAGCAGTTTTGAATTTATCTGATGGCTTGAAAGAGTATTGATGTAGGATCGAATAAGACTGTATAGCATGTTTACTTCTTATAAGCATTGCAAAGCAATAATAATATGAATTCTAACGAGTGGTTACTGGAAGTACAAAGCTGTATATAGTTTTATAAATCCTTTGTTGTTCATCATGAATAAATAATATTGTCTTTGAATGTCGTTGATCTGTAAAATATGATACAATTTCAATAGCATCCTTTACTATTTGTTTATATTTAGATGAAAGTTTGAAAATATTACTGACGCATAAGTTCGACTGATGTGCAAAGCATAAAAGAAATATAATGTTATGCTTCTGTAATCGTATTTTACGGCTGGTAAATAAATGTTTATATATTATTTTATTAGATACAAAACTAATTTTAATTGGCTTGGTGCTAAAAAAGGGACCAGGTTAGCAAAAAAAAAAATTCTTCACAAAAAAATTATTTCACGAACTATTAATTAAAATTATGGCTTCGATCAATAGTTCATAAGATAATTAATTTTTTGTAAAGAATTTTTTTTTGTTAATTTAGTCTCTTTTTCAGTACTGAGCACAAAAAAAAATTTTTTTTAATAATCTATACACACTGGGTGAAGCATATGCTGATGTACTATCAGTAATCATGACCACTATATTAAGATTCTGGTTACTAGCATGTTCAAAAAAGGTATGAATTGTATTTAATACATCGAGAGTTTTTTGACTTTGATTGCTAATATCTTCAGCATCCCATATGTATAGCTGATTTGTTGTAGAAAGAATAATGGCTCCCAAAATTTCCTGGCAATGCACATTTTTCCAACCATCAAACATGATTGTAACTGGTTCTTGTAACTCAGAAAGAGTAGAGACTTTAGTTTGTTCTAATTTTTCTGCATACTTAACAAGAATTTTAGTACTTATTGTTCTGCGAGTTGGAATTTTAACAGTTGGGTTAAAAAAATCAACAAATTCATGAAGTATACTACTTTCAGTAAAATGAAAAGAAAGCCCATTCTGAACTATTAGATGCAGAAAATGGCGATTAAATTCATACTGTTGATTAGTTGATAATAGGTGAGCAACAAAAGTTTCAAGTGTATAATTTTTTTTTTTTTTTTAAGATTTATATGGGAGAAGTTTGAAGAAGTTTCTGACATTCATGTATTATTGCTTGTGGTATTGGAATTGGATGAGACAATGGACATGGCTGTATCATTTCGCTCTCTTTCTTGTTGCAATGCTCTTACAGCATTACGTGCCATATTTTCATCAGCGTCTTCATATATCATAACTTCTTGGTCCTCATCAATTCAATACTTACGCCAATATTGACAACGTTTCCAATGTCATTGTACATGATCCCACCTATTAAAAAATCCCCATTTATCATATATTTCTCACAATTCAAGGCCTTTACTTCTTCCCTTGTCGAATATATGTTCATTGTGTTTATAGGCTTTACAAATAGCCCATTTAGCTGTTTGATTTGGGTCTAATTTATCTTGACCATGCACATATTTTGTTAATCGATGTGAATAGTTTTGAGACATTTTAATTTTAATACTAATGATTTATTTTTATTTTTATTTTTTTAGAAAAATAGGGTTGAGATATTTTAATGCTTTTATATTTATGTGATTTTACTGATGTAATCAATTTGATACCAAATTTTCTGATCAGTTCGCATAATACTGGTTTAATTTGAAAGTCAATCTTTATTACATTAACAGTAAGTTCTAAATGCTTTTATATGAAAATAAGTCAATGTGATTTACAGCTTATTTGTGAACAAAGAAAATAGTTTATCGTTATTTCGAATTAGTACCATTATAAAATTTTATAGTCTTGCGAATTTTAATATTATCATTGTTATCACAATAGTAATATATGGAATTCATAGAACTTATAAAATTCTATATTGCTAATCTAATTAAAAATAGTCTGCTTATAATTATGTATACTTTGCATTGAATCAGCATCTAAAATCTAAAAGTGGTTTATAATGTGAAGCTTATTTCTAGAAGTTTACAAAAGCTTAAGCTGAATTCGTGAAATATTTTAATAAATAATAAGCGTGGTTTTTGGAGTAAATTCTGGCAGATGTAGCCTATTGTATTAAAATGTCTTTATTTGAAGTATTATTTAATTCAATTGCAGAATATGTGAAAGTTATCGATTACTATAATTACAGCCAATTTTTTAATATAGACTATTTACACGGATGTAAATTTGTCTTTACACATTGATCAGAAGTAAATAAAAAATTTTCATGTTTGATATTTTGACTTATTTTGCAAATAAATTAAATAACCAATAAGGGCACTTTATATAATTTAATCTGCATATACCATACAAGCACTCATGGGTGTTATATCGAAAGTCAGAATTTGTTTAAATTTTAAAATTAACTCTTATTTCGAAATAACGCACATAGATGTACTTGAAATAATGTGCAGAGCAATTATGTAATGGATCAAAATGAAATCTGATTAAAATGAAATATGTATATAATAAAAAAATTGACAAGTCACTGAATAATAAAAATTTTTGTGCACATTTTTAGGGTTAGGTGTTAAGGTTAGAGATTAGTTTTAGAGTAGAGTTTATATTAAACAAGTATAATTGGGTTTTAGAGAGTTGAATAGAAACCCACATTTAATTTTAATCTGATTTCATTATGATCCACGACATTGAATAACCAAAAATAATTTTATTAGAATGTAACGGTAATATTCTTGATTAATAGCCAGCTTAGAAGTATCTTGATAAATTGGGGACATATTAAAGCCAGGTGTGTTATTCAATTTTAATGATTTAATTAAAATAGGATTAAAGTAAAATCATTGTAGTATTTTTTATTGGTGTTCAAGATTTTGTCTATTTCTTGTATGTTTCATGTTTTTCACCTTTAGTAGTATTAATTTCTAATTCTAATTTTCAATTATTCCAATTTGATCAATTTGACCGATTTGAATTGGTCTGATTGTTCTGTGTAATCAATCATTTGATCAATTTGATCGATTTGAATTGGTCTGATTGGTCTATGTAACCAAATCGTTTGACCAATTTGACCAATTTGACCAATTTGACCAATTTGACCAATTTGATCATGGTCGAATTGGTCTAATTGGTCTGTGTAACCAAATCATTTGACCAATTTGACCGACCAACCAGACCAAAAACCATTTGACTAATGACCAGCAAAATTTATAGTCGACCACAAGTTTTAGCAATACTGACTATAATATAACTATGCTAATAACTAATAATAAATATAATATAAAATACAAGGATGAATATATAATAACTACTAATAATATAATATACTATGCTATACTAAAATCTACTTTGTAACAATAGGTTAGATTCTGTTGATAATGAAATTACAGAAACACTGCAAGCCTTAGAATATTTTCTTTAGAGGCTATTAGAGTCTGAAGAAGAAGAGAATAAAGGTAAAAATAAATAATAATCAAAAAAAGAAGAATAATATATATATCGATATATACCTTTATATACTTTTGTTTTGCTATTATATTAAAGAACTTATAAAATGAATATGAAGATAATAAAAGAAAAAAATATATATTACTATATGTTTTTATATATATTTTAATAACTTTAAATAAATATTCAAATAATAAAAGAAGAAAATAAATTAATATAGATTTTTATAAACTTTTATTTTGCTTTCTTTTATGAAGTTGTTAGATAAATATCAGTAAAATGTATATTAATATGTGTATATTTTTATATAAACCTATATCTTACAGTGATCCTACTAACATGCAAAACAAATATTAGAATAATAAAAGAAAAAAAAATATATATTTCTTATATCTTTTGTATACTTATATCTTGCTTTGATGCTGACACTTATTAGTTTACTATTATTATTCTTTTTATCTTATCTCTTTATATATAACAAAAAAATAATAGAAAATTAAAAGTATATTATTATATAGCTAATATTTATATTTAATCTTTTTATAATATAGATAACTGTTAGTTTACTGATATATTACTCGATATGCATATTAACTAACTAATAGGACTATATAGATACATTCTATTATTTTATCATTATTTATATATTTGACCTGTGCATACAGACAAAAAAAAAGCAGAATGTTTAATTAGATAGATTACAGATATAACAACTAGTATAAAACCTGTGAGTGGACTACTTAAATAGATAATCAAAAGCTGTATATGTGACTAGTTGCACACTCACCTTATACATGTTATATAATTATAATTAAATTACAATAAAAGCAGTAGCTACTAATAACCAATAATCTTAGTAAAAGCAAAAAAAAAAACTTTAAAAAAAAATAAAAAATTGATATTTTTTAAATATAATAATATTTTTTGCATATAATAATATTTTTTTTACATGTAATAATATTTATTACATGTAATAATATTAATACATATAATAATATTATTACAATTGAAGTTTCAAAAAATCTTTGTAAAAATATATATAATAAATAATTAGCTATTTAAAGCACCATACTTTAAACGCTACATTATAATTTAATATTAATTCAAAAGTTAATCAGCAATGTATTGATTTCTAACTTTCATTTTTATAATTTCACTTATGCACATGTTCATGTAACCATTAGACCTATTACAACATATTACTTATTTGATATATCCTGCTTAGTTATTAAATTCCTTTTAAACTTATTAATTTGAAATAAATTTTAATAATTTATAGCATTGATTTAACAAATTTTATTGGTTTTTAAATTTTACACTATTAACTGAAAATGGGCATATCTTTTAGTATTATCCCAAATGAAGTAGAACCCCGATTTCCAAGCATAAACTGCGTAGTAATGTTATAATTCAAAAAAATTTGGGTCGCAACTTTAGTCACTCAGACTAACTTCCGTTTGAATCTGCTTATGAATGTAGCATAAGTAATCAACATATGACATAGCACCATTGTTCTCATCTTCAACAAGTAAGCTATTGAATTCAATTTCTGAAGGGTCTATTTGCGTTCTTACAATTGTTAAACGCAAATGTTTTGACCTTTGCGACTGTAAATGTGCTATGATAGAACGTATTTGCACCGATGTCTGGTTTTCTAATGCAGGAAGGACACTCTATTAAGACAAGAGATTAAAGTCATTATCATAAAATTATGCAAAGCTTAAAGATAAAACATGAAACGTACAATTTTTGAATCAATATGTTCGACAGATTCCACTCCAAAAACATTACGTATAAAATCTTGTGATACTTGTCTACCTAACCAAAACATTAGCACCTGACCATTTTCTATATTTAAAAAATGAATTGTCAGCAGAACGTGTACAATACCGGAATATAATAAGATTTATGCTACTAAAAATTTCAAACCTAATAAATAAGCACCATTTTCTTCAAATCTCGCATATGACCCGCGTATTAATGGAGGCAATTGGATTATACCGCGTTGGTCCGGATATCCAGCCTGTATTAATAACGTTAAAACTTTTGCTTTTTTCACGAAGAAAAAAAAAGCTTCTAACTAACCTGATCAGAAAGATTATGAACGGGAAAAAGTCGTGGATAAAACAATACGATACTTTGTGATACACCAATACTCTTTATCAAACGCATGCAATTTACTCGGACATCACTTGTGAGGTTAGCACCTACAATTCTCGCATTTATCAATTTTTTGTATAAGGATAAGACGATTACATAAAGAAGTTGAAAATTACAATTTCTTACCACCCCGAAGAGCTTTGGATTTTAACATCGTTAAAGCATATAGGGGAAATAATTTGAACGCCTCAGGTAAGATCAACTGACCAGGAGAGCTTGAAGATGCACAGTGCCTTCTATAAGACATTAATATTTTCACACATTTGTCTGTCAGCTGATCACGTATATCACGTAACGACTTATTTAACGTATTCGATACCGCTATTAAAATAATATTATTACATATAAATAATCATACCACATGTTTATCATCAAAGTGGTTTAAGTGGACATACCCTGCTTAGCTAAAAAGTTCACCGTAGTATCCATCTCAGCATGCCTAAAAACGTTACCAAGAAGTTGTGTTACGCTAACACTTAAGTTGTGAGTTCGTACTCGACGTTGTCCCGATGACGTCGTATATAAAAGGGCACATTGAATATACGCGTCTGTTTTTTCGTCCAGTTTGCCATCATATTTGAGTAAAGCACCAAACGCTTTGTCACTATCAATACCTGCAAGCTCAAGATCAGTCGTATTTCGCATGTTAAAATTGCCGAAATGATCAGCAATTTTGAGACCTGGCAAACAATACAGATCAAAAATTAAATATCTGAAATAAAAATTTTAATATAAGTAAAACACGAACCATTGGAACATCGAATTCTCATAAGCGCGTTGTATCCGAATTCTCTGGAGAAGTTCTGTTTCAACTCATAAACGAATTTTTCCCCATCTCTTTGAGCATCAAAGTTGGGATAAAAGTAAGTCTCACCTCCAGTTAAACATGATAGCAATCCTATATAATATATTAGCGTTTGATAGGCAAATACTATCTATATTATCTGCATGTTTGTAAAAAAAAAAAAATAAAAAAAATACCTATAGTTGCAACATCAATATACGCATTGGGAAATAGAAATAAGTCGATGCAAATTCCGGAATCCACACAACTGATTGCCAATGTCTTATAATAATTATCCTGTGGACCAAATAATGTCTTTTCTTTATCAGTATTATAAAGCTTTGAATCTTCGCGGTGTCTTATTGACCCTGGTCCAAGTGTCGGGAGAGCTGTTTGAAATATTAAGAGTTTACCACCAGTGTCGCTCTAAGCAAAAATAAACAAAAAATATATATGTATTCGTGGCAAGCCTTCGTTTAAAACGATCAATAAAGTATAAAATTTTAATCTGCTGACCATACCAAAGCCATGTGAACTGCCTTAACTACAGCACCTAATACAGGTTCTATAATCTTATTTTCAGCGAACATTGCTGGTAAGGAATCTAAGAGACCTTCAATTACGGCTCTTTATAGTTAAAGATTGACATTAACATATTTTCGTGGATTTAGCATAAAGTTATTAACAATGACGTTACCTGGATTGCGTTGGATCAACCAAAAGCCCAGAACTAAGCGGGACAAAGACATCATTAATATCAGATACAACCAACATTTGCGCCTGTTCCAGTTGCGGCTATTTAAAATGCAACAAATGCTTAATATTGACTTTATTGTTGTTCAAAATTATAACATAACAGATAAATACCTGCAAATTATAAAAATGAATATCTTTGTCGAAAGTAATGATACCAATTTTACCTCCAGGTGGTATACCATTCTGAGAATTATACAGGATATCCTTAATTGTTTCAACACATTTTGCAAGCATTCCACTTTTTATGGAATTCCAGGAAACATCGATGGCAAAAATATAGGATAAAGGAGTAGGTGGCCGAGCCCAATATTCCTATACAAAGAATATATGTGTATAATGTATCTTAATATTTCACACACATTTAGTATTATGACGTACTTGTGGTGCTGTAAATTCCACTGTCCCATATTTTAATTCTGGCCTTTGATCTATATCTGCACGAAGTCCATTCATGTCCAAGTTGCAGAAATATTCCGAAGGAACTTTCAAAAGATAGGAGCAAAGCATTAGATTTCATTATAATGAGTTAGATGCCTAATTACATTCCGATTGATACTCTAGCATGAAAACACACCTTCATTAGAAAATAAACACATATTGCATATAAATTTTTGTCCACCCTCCACAAACATTACGTAGGGATTTATATATGCTTTGCACCGCCTACAACGAACCGGTCCATTATCTTGAAAATTGACGAGTTCGATTGGAGCCTGATTGAAAAAGGTGTCAATCTTCAATTTAATGAAAATCAAAAATGATAATAACTCAAAAAAAGAACCTCATCGCTTCTCAACTTGGCCAAAGGTTGTAATATGACACCCAGGGGTAGATGGGATGTTTGAAGAAGTTCTTCGGTATGTGGTATAGAATATAAGGTCAATCTAATAAACCTAGGGTTGGAATTACCTTTGGAGAAGTTGTAGTTTTTGTGGTATTTTAAAAAAGTTAGCTATCTAATCAATTTGTAAAAAAATATTACTGCATTTATTTAGGATTACCTTCATCAATAGCTCTAAAATCAGTACTTGCGAGTGGTATTGTTGACTTAGAACGAGTCATATATGGTTGCTCATCAAATAGATGTTGATCTTGTTCCTGAACGACTACCGGTGATGGAATTTGATTAGGATCAATGCGAGACCTAGGAGCGTTAGGACGTACCATTGGCGGAGGTTGTTGAGGAACGGGAAGCTGTGGAGGTTGCGTGTACTGAGGTGCTGGTGGTTGTTGTGAAACTGGAAGCTGTGGTGGTTGCGCGTACTGAGGTGCTGGTGGTTGTTGTGGAACTGGAAGCTGTGGTGGTTGCGCGTATTGAGGTACTGGTGGTTGTTGAGGAACTGGGAGTTGTGGAGGTTGTGTATACTGGGACGCTGGCGGTTGTTGAGGAACGTGGAGCTGCGGAGGTTGCGTATATTGAGGTTGGTTTATCCCTTGTCCAGCAGAAGTAGGCTGTGAAACCATTGAAGTATACATGGGTTGTGTAGGTGCTTGTCCCGTCTGTGACGCATTGTTTGTTGGCGGCTGGTGATAACTAGGCGTTGAAGGGACAGAAGAATGTGGCTGAGGACCAAGATCATGGTGTGCACGCTTAGAACGATTTTGTTTTGGAGATCTGGTTTGCTGCTAATACAATATATAGTAAGTCAATGTCAAAAAACAATATGCAACAAATGAAAAATGATTTGAAATAACAAAGAGAAGTTTGGACTGATAAAATACATTACATCGATCTGAGAAGATTGATTTTGAATAGGGGGATCTTGGCTTATTCTTACATTACTTATATTCGGTAAAATACTATCAATGCCTTCATTTCCTGGTGGAGGCCGAGGGGCATATTGAGATGAAGTTTGTTGATATCCTGGACCAACCTGTAGTGGTGCCATGGGGGGTCGCGGTCCAGGTGGAATCCCTATTGTTGGACCCTGCTGAACAGGCATAGTGGGTCTAGTTCCTGAATTGAGAATAAGTGTGAGATCAAAATTTATTCATTGTAGCTTCATGATCTGATAAGAAAACATCGAAGCATTGCAATTTTGGTCATTAACTGTACTTCATTAGTATAATTAACTATACTTCATTAGTTATAGTGATTGAAATAACCATTATATGTCCTTATGATGTGTCTTTAATTGTAAGATCAAGGCGATTTACTTTAGTACAAATATAATTTTAAAAAAAAACGAGCAAAAACCTTGAGCAGGTGATCCTGGAAAACCCTGTTGAGTGAAATTTGTTGGAGGACGCCCACCAGTAACATGTGTCGGTCTAGCATTTGGAGGGATCCCAGCAACTACTTGTGGTGGTGGGGCCTGTGTGTTAGGTCTATACATAGGTGTCTAAATTATTTTGCTCTTGGCGTAATCCTAGACAGGCGAAATTATTTTGACTGTCTAAAACGTAAATAATTTAGCCTGTCAAACTATTTTAGTATGCCAAAAATATTTTAGTACGTCGAAATTATTTTCGAAGGACAAATATATTTTTGGATGACGAAAATATTTTTGTACGTATGGCGAAATTGGCGAAAATATTTTTTAACTACTTTTTTTTGCAATTTCATCCTTTTTGATTCACAGAGTTCATCCTTTTGATTCGTAAAAAAAGGCCCAATGTTATTAGGGTTAGAAGGGTCAAGTCATATGGTGGTACGTAGTATCAAACAAATGGGCCTTTTTATGAATCAAAATTTAAGATATCTAATTTTAGGGTACATACTCATGTAAACACCCCTAATGTAACTAGGAAATTCCGAATCTATTGTAGTGAAAATGAAATTTGTCGAGTTTTTATTTGAAGTTATACGGCTATCACTGCTAATTGCGTCATTCCCGTCATCTATTTTTAAAAGTTCGCTCTTAGTTCGATTTGATTGATTAGTTTTTGGGTTAACCGATTCGAATTAAATTAGCTATAGAAGACTTTTTAAATGTACTGGTATACAGTACAAGTGTGTATTTAGAGAAAGTAAAGAATAGAAATAACGTTTAAGTTTGTAAAAAAATTAATTGACCAATAAAATCGTATAGCATGTCTATACTTTGTCCATACATTTGTCCACACGTGTTCATGTATGTAAGGTTAAAAATATTCAAATTTAATAAATCACTAAATCGCACTAGTAGTGTTCAATATCACATCTTTTTAATAATTTTGCTAGTTAAGATTTAGGAATTGAAGACCTGAAACCGGCCTAGGTTTGATCCCGGATCTCTCGTTGAAATTAATTACGCACGTTGATTGGCTGCATTTGGGGTCTCTTATATTGGTCCTGTTGTGTTCGAAGAACCAAATATAAAATTATATGCAAAGTTCACGTATGTACTTTTCGGGTCTTACCTGATTTTTTCAGTTCTGATCTTTAAAAAACCACGTCTGTAAGGAACACTACTCTAAACTATAAAAAGATTTTAGTTAGGGTAAGTTTGGATGATGCGCACTGTTACATATAATTTAGTAAAACCGCAATATTTTTATCGATTTTTTTTGACCAGTTATAAGAACTAATTTATTAAACTTGTATAATTTAGGATTTTTTTAAATTTGGTAGTTTTGTTTTTTATTTTATTTTTATTTTTTTTTTAATTTTGGGTCTTGCTAATCACCTTTATTAAGATTTTTGTATATATATTTTGTACAAAGTTGGTTTAAATTCTGGTTTGACATTCTTTGACTACTTCTATAAGTGCTTAAAAATGGTTTGTTGCACTGGTTAGAAATTAATCTGGTTAGAAGGTTATACCAAGTTAGTCATTAGGATCATAAAAAAATAATTTTTTTTTTTTTTTATAAAATCATTAATCAAATCTAATTATAAAAAAACTTTTTTGTTTTTTTTTTTTTTTTTTTTTTTTTGGAATTAAGATGAGGTTATGCCTCAGGTTTGTTTATTCGAACATTTTGTTACAGTTTGTATAACTTTTTACATTATACATTATTTATTACTATATGTCTAATTAAGAGATGAGACTCAGACTAATTTATCTGCGACCTAAACTTACCAGAGCTAATCTTGTATTCCACTTATACATAACTTGGATTTTTGTTTCACATCTATCTATATTAGATAACCTGCATATTCCTCCCATGTCTCACAACCTATTTAAACAACTTCCAAATTGGTCTACCAGGT